TCCTCTTGTACCCCCTCCATTCCCTTTTTGGGAAAGGCACAGCCTCCAGCAGCACTGGCAGAGGCAAAGTGGTGTGGGTCAGGAGCCTGCTTAGGACAGGGCTACTAATGAGCAACCTTCTCAGGTAAGATTCCTGACAATAACCTTAAACAATATCCTTATTCTCAAAGCAAAAAGAGTGTCATGTCCCTCTGTTAGTGTGTGTTTATAGGTATGTTTATTAGCGTTATTAGGAGAGAACTCACAGAGTAGGCCTCCTCCAACAGCCTGAAGCACGGTGAGGATAGGGAAGAAGTACAGTGCTGCATAAATGCTTTTGAATCGATCAGACTTTCCTAAACCACAGGCAATTTTTTTAACCAGAAGAGGCCGAAGTAGCATCATTAACACAAGACAGAAGGCGTAATATATAAACACAATGGTGTACCTGGAAAAAAAAAAAAAATCCTTTACAATGTGCAGTTCTTTTTCTCCTGCAGACTCAACTCAGAACCAGGGAGTTTGGGGTTAGAGTCAGTCAAGGCTAAAGGATTTACAATCAAAGGATGTAAACACAGATCGATGGGCTCACTTTTCCTAGAGGAAACTGTCAACATGCAGCAAAGGGGCGGGGGGCGAAGCATTCTGCTTTATAGCTAAATAGCCTGGACTATGCCACCTTCTTCGGCAATTCAGAAAGTCATTAGGTGTTGCTAAGTGTTTCACACACAAAACAGCTCAATGCACAAAAAGACTTCAGGGATTGATACTCCTTGGTCCGAGTTATACCTGAACGCTATTTGCAGCTTTGAGAAGAGGCACAGTCAGAAACAGGCTTGTACAAAAGGAAGGCACAGACAGGAGTACAAATGCCTTTATACTCACAAGGGATAGACTGCTTCATGAGTGCAGTGCACCGTGGTGATGTAGTCGGGACTTGGGTTGTAAAGCATCGTGTACCAGTCTGAAAGCTTCTTCACCTTGCAGGAGCGGATACGCAGAGAGCCGACGGGGTCGCTGACAAGCAGTGTAACAACTGCTGCAATGCTGCACTCAAACAAGGCAGTAACATGCTGCAGCAATGCGCTGGAGCTGTGGAAGGAGAAAGACAGATTTACTACTGTTTTGCTAACACTAAAGGAAATTGAAACACCAACCGAGAAGTAGAAGCCCACACAGTAAAGAACCTTCTACTGAGTTAATATTTACCGTGGACCAAGGATTGGACAACTGTGCTTGAATGAAAAGTATTTGAAGTTGAATGTGAAAATTCATTTACAATCTCAGATGATTTAGTGTGTAAAATGTAACTGAACAACACTCCAGCTTCTTAAATGAAAGCTTCCTCGAGCATAAGCGTCCTGCCAGGTGAGGGACAACACTCACATCGTTCCAGTTTCAAAGAAAGCAGCCGTGAAGGTAAGACACCACATGCCTCAGAAGGGATGACACTGAAAATTTTTCTTGTAACATATGTATATGTATCATATGTAACAAAGCTGCAAGTCCTTGTTAAAGATGGTATATATTCATATATTAAACTCTTTCAGTCCCCGCTGTTTTCAGTGTTTAGTATACTCCAGAGTCATTACTTCCTAAAAGTTCCAGTCTAGCACCTAATGGCCACACGCAGCCATGGTTTTCAAACCCCTCTTTGACAGAACTTCCTTGATGCACTATGCTGATGTAAAGGTTACATCAGCTATGCTATCAAGACCAAAACCCGGTATAGAGAAAGAATATATAGAATAGAATAGAAAATATATTTTTCTATATATAGAATATATAGAAAACTCAAACCCATTCCCTTCTTATACATGCACAGCACCACTGATTGAGGCCTCTGCAAGGTGG